CAGTCTTCCAACTATTAATAGCTTTAGAGGAAACAACATTCTGTGTTTCAGTTCCTTATGTTTTAGTTTTTTCCAGAACAGAAAACAAGAGATTTGGAGGATATAGTTTGTGAGAAATCAATAAGAACTCGAATAATTTATCTAGATCTTACACCCCTGACACATACAAGCCATCCAATGTTAATGATGATTTCATTTTCTGGCCTTGATCCTCAAAATCAGTTCCTGGAAATTCAATGTCTACCCTATGCAATTGATTACTGCCATAATTAATGGAAAGCAGGTAGGAATCAATGAAGAAAGTGCAATATACAGATATATGTTTGTATACCTACTACCATTATGGAAAGCAAATACTCAACTGCACAGTTGTGTAATGTATTTTACCTACCAATGCACAGAGACACCTCTGAAACCCAGCCCACCAAAGGTGGGTACTAAGTCCCATTTTTTAGATCAGTTCCCATTTACACCCAGAACCTGCAGAGAGGGGAAGAGAGAGAGAGGTAGAGAGAGAGACAGAGACACCCTGCAGGTTTACTGTTAACACTATCAAGGGATAAAAACAGGAAGAAGAGTGGAAATACAGAAAAGGGAAAATGCATACGGAAAATTAGAAAAAGAACAGCCTTCCTAAGAACTCCTGGGAGAAAAGGAGAATTTACCAAACCTTCCTGTAGGCAGTAAAGGGCATTGACTCCAAACCAAAATGCTTAGACCTACCATTCACTTCAGATTTCCTTTGATTTTGCTGCCAGATGGTAAGAGCAGCACTTACACACATAAGCTTCAACAACAGTTGCTCTCTTTTCTACAAGACTTTAAATAGGAGACTAACTTCTATGCATTCAGCTGGAAAATTCTCTCTCATTTCCTCTGAAATTTCTCTTTTCTAACAGAACTAACTGGGTGAAAGTAGTATAAAGTCTTTTAGACCTTAAAAAAATACATTCTGTGGAGCAGAGAGTTGTTTAGTCTTTAGAAGATAAGATCTCTGAGTAGGTATATATAAATAAGAAATTTAGATACAGAAAAAATTAGAACCTCTTTTGCTTTCATCAAAAGAAAAATAAAAGGATATAAAATTGATTCAAATTCCCCTATCTTTATCCAGGTTTTTCTGAAACCTTGCTCAGGCACAGTCCCAGGAAAGTCAATCCAAAATAACTGTACAGAAAGATGTAAGACACTGCATATTGGCAAGTCTATTGAATAGCCACTTCCACTGAATTTCAAAACACAGAAAACTTTCCATACTTCACAAAAGCAGAAGGGCTAAGCAGCCTTTCTCCTCTCATATCAAACCACTCAAAGGTTCAGTTTTCTTGAAAATGATAAAACAAAAATTTGAATGTGCTCATAAGCTTTGGTTCAGTATTTGTTTTAACATCTGAAGGACAAATGCCATAGAAATACCATAGAAAATCTAGATCCTGCAAAAGGTGCTGTTACTGAGAAGAGGTTTGTGTTTTGTGAAGGCTTTTCACTGCAGTGAGGAATTGAGGACTGTACAGGCCAAATTCCAGAAAATGCAAGGCAACAGATTTGAGAGGTCTGACATTACAGTGAATGACAGCATGCATGGTTTCCATCACAGTAAGCATGTGCTGCTTTGTAAGTATCTTCCTGCAAAAGCTATGAGGTAAAACAGATATTGAAGTTTGTGTTTCACAGACAGGCTTCTGTGTCTGCTTGGCATCAGTTGGGGGATAGTAGAGCGATGAGTTAATATTCTGAGTTTAGGTGGAACACATTCAGGGCTCATTAAGTTTCCAGCCATTCCTAAACAGCAACAGGTGCTTGAGAAACGTTTCTCCAGCATGTCATAGACAGCCTCTACACTGTCTTGGAAATAACTGAGTGCACTTGTGTTTCCTCCATGGCACCAGCTGACAAAGGAGGAGAGAACGAAAAGGAACAGGAAACACTCCCAAAACATCCGCATGTGCCTGGTGAATGGGTCTAGAAAAGTAAGTAATAAAATACCCTGAATTCAGATGTGATACTTGCATGCCTGTCCAATGTTGCCACTCATTCAGACTGCAGTATCACATTCAGCCAAGTCCTTACAGGCTCCCTGGAACCTTGATTAATTAACTGAAATGGCATTATAAGAAGCTGAAAGTTTCTCAGTGATTAGTGTTCCGTAATCCTTTATGTATGTTGAAGTACAGAGGACTGAATGTCTTGGGAAGCTTGTTCAACCATGGGAAGAAAGATGAGTTGTAGCTGGAGAGACTGCCTGGCACAGCATTTGTGTTAGCACAGGTTGGTTTAGCTTTTGTGAAGAGTGCTGTGCATGTGCACAATTACCTAAAACATTTCATAATACAGCCTGCCACTGGAGGGAAACAGGCACAAGGAAGCAATTTTAAGTTCAACTAGCAGATTTAAGGAAAACAGGACTTAATATTTAACATTTAAGAACTACATCCAGGAAATTTCAATGTGTAGAATAAATCTGTATTTTGATCTTTTCCTTACCTCTCACAAAGTTTGGAAAAAGCCTGAAAAATCTCTGCCAACAGCTACTGGGCTGGCACACAAATGCATGAGAACAGTATAATCTGTTTGTTAGGAAAAATTTTCCTTACGGAAACTTAAATTTTGTAACAAGTTCTTAGATGTTGCAATGACACAGTGAGAGGTTTCTCCTAGGTCTTTGATGTTATACCACTACTGCCTATCGCTGGTAAGATAGAGTAGCAAAGACATATCTTGGAGAGTTTTATAAAGTCCACAAGGGAACAGAACCCAAAATCCCAGAAAAAAAATTGTAACAAACAACAAGGATCACTCCAGAAGGAAGAAAAAAAGAAAAGAAGTCACTGCTCCAAGGAAGATTCCTCTTGGTTTTGTACAAGATGACAGCACCAACTGATTCCAAGCCCAGACAATTGAGTTTCCCCCACACTCAAGTTTCTCATCCTGTCACTGTTATTTCCAAGTAGCTTTTGATCAACACCAGACCACTGGAAATTTGCTTCTCTATGAGATAACAATGTTGTTGTTTTTGGAAATCCACGTAATGATTTATGCACCATGGTGGTGCATAAATCTTTGCTAAAAGGGAGGGTGAGAAAAGGGGGGAAACTCCTACTTTACCTGCACTGATGAGTGCCCATATTCCTAACTCCAGCCATTCTGCTACCACTTCTCATGACACAGACATAGTCTCAGGGACTCAGAAGAATCTAGGGTTTAGTTTTACTACAGATTGCTTAATAAAAGAGAGCTTACAAATGCCTTGAAATGAACAGCAACCATCCTGCAAGTCTGATGTGACCAGATATGCTTTACTCTGTCTTGTGCATGTTCTGCTTCCTTGTCACCATCCAGGTTTCAGGACAATGCAGAATTGCACTGCATTGAATTTCCTCACTGAAACACCACCAGTCTCCCTCTGGACTGGATTTTAAACAGGAGAAAGTATTTTCCTAAATGATTGATATTTGACCAAATTATTCCATTTTGCTCTGCAAGCAACTGTACTGTTTTTCCACTGTATCCACTGAATTTGGAAACAAATTTTCACTGGGCAAAACTCCCACAGTTCATTAGTTTTTCACTTCACATTTTATCTTTCAGGTGATTCTGGAAGCTGCACTTCTGAGTCATTCTTACTGCCAACAAATAATTTTCCCAGAGCAGCCACTCAGATGTAGACTTTTTTTTATTTACTGGTTATATGCATGGACATGTGGTGTGCATGAACATTGGAACCCCAAAGCCCAGCCACAGCTCCAGTTGCTTTTGGCAGGTGTCCCTGGGATGAGTGCCTCAGGCAAGTGCCCCACTGACCTCCATCTGAGCTACCTCTTTGCTCACTGTTAAAGTAAACAGAATAGGGATTGCTGCCAAAGGCACTAATAAAAATAGCTCAATCACACACAACTTCTCCTGCATGATCTTCACTACTCAGTACAGAGTTTGTTCTTGCAGAAAATGAACAACCTCCACAGGAACTGTATTTTAAGCTGCTACAACACACAAAATTTAATATGCACATTCAATTTTTTTCCCATAGTTCACTAGTAACACAGAAGGGACATTATGCTTCAATACTGTGGCAATTCACAGGTCCCTTGAGAAAATCACTGCAAATGTTACATTCCATGAGAGAAATCCTGAATCCTACCACAATGGACAAGAGTTTGGCCTCTGAATTATCCTCCTCGTTAGGGGGAAATCCTATAAACTTTATCCCTGAGACATACACAAGGCCATGATGGAATGGAAAGAAAATGTTTCCAAGAGATTTTGTTTTCAAAGGAAGTCTTTGACACAAAGGAAAAGTGGCCATTCTGATCTGCACTCAGGTTATGTGAATCTGCTCACTCTGTGCAGATTTATACAGTTACAGCTCAAGCTGAGCAAGTGTCTGCAGATCCTAATGCAACCACTTATGCTAGAACTAAACCAAGTATGTGTCTTTTGTATCAACTTACCTAAAGATTCCAGACAAACTGGAAGCCAGGGGCTAAACTAGGTACTGTGTCAGGGACTGTAGCTAATACTGAACAGAATATCATTAAAACATTTTGACTTGTCAGTGGAAATCACTGCTGTGTAATGGAGCACAGAGTATTTTTGTCAACAGAGCCAGGTCTGCACTGCCGGTGTATAATTAATGTAGTTCTCTGGCTGGAGGCTTGGTTAATTCAGGAGAACATTGCTACTGGAAAGCACACATAAAAGTGGAAACCAACTAAAACTTTGATGATGATTTTTTTCCTTTTCCATTAAAGAAATGGAAAGGTTTTTAAAAGAAATAACTAGAATGTTCTGCCTCACATTTTAATGTAGGATATACTGTTTGCCTACTCACAGACACTTAACCAATTTTTCACATAAGAACTTGCTGTAAAAAACCCCAGTTAAATCCCAGAGACACAGAAAAGGATATAACACAATACAGTAAGTCCATTTGAGCCACATTCTTGCACTTCCCCCCTCTTTGTGGTATTCCCACCCAGTACAAAAGGTACTACAGTATTTACCTTTATTCCAGGGAGTCCAGGAAGCCCAGGAAGGCCTGGTTCACCCTACACAGGAAAATTACATAACATTACAGACATTATCCAGTTAGGGTCACTATCCATTGAACAGCCCTGTAAATTCTGCAGGAAGATAAAAGAGCATGAATGATTGCTAGTCAACTCCAGCAAGATTGTTTTTTTCAAAATGAGTGACTTAAATGTACAATTAGTAAGAGTCATGTTAAGGACTTAGGTATCTTCTGGGAACCTTCAGTGTGAAGATGACACACAGGGCTGAAAATCCATGTCAGGAAAGCCAAATAGGAATTCACATTAGACTTCAGCAAAAGAGAAGAAAACAAGCAGCGCTGGTTGATTTTACTGACATTTAAGTTCCATACTTATGACAGATGTTTAACTCTGTTCCATTTTCAACTCTGAGCCAGATACTGTGCTGTGTGACTCCCTCATTTACCTACAAATCCATTCAGAAGAGCTTGGATTAAATTGCACCATTCAAGCAGGACTGCCTAATTATAACTGGGCCATCAGTTTTATAGAGCTATCCACAGCATCATTTCAGAGCTTGTTCTTTATCTGTGAACATACACAGTGTCATAAAGGATAGTGGGAATGTAACCTTTTACTGCTTTACCCAGAAAAACCTTGCTTATTTAAAATTGCAATGGAAAGACCTATAGAACTCTATTTGCAAGGTAATTTTGTAACAAGCATTGAAAACTGAATGCAATAATTTTGGAAATGGTCTAAGACAAGAATGACAACATTGTCACAAATGGTCATTTTGAGCTATCAGCTAAATGAAAAGATGTTGTCTAGGGAAATAAAGATGGTGAACAGAACAAAAAAAAAAAAAAGCAATAACATGTGAATAAAACATTATTTTAAAAGCTAGGGATTTTATTATAACACAGAGATGGATTCTAACCAGCACCTTGGATCTGAATATTCCCTGAACTTTCTGGAAGCTCAGGTTTGAACTCTGAAGCCAACTTTTACCTTTGTAATGAACTGAACTATATTCCAGATTTTTTTACACTCATGAGCTTTACAGAAATCCAGACTTCAACTCTGTGGTTTGGGCTGATCCCTCCAGGTTGTGCTATTAAAATATTTTGTGAGCCTGTGTGCACACACACTTACACACCCCCATACACCCACACACACTCGTGTATACACACACAAACATAAACACACCTACACAGAACTGCAGGTGTCCATCCAACTGCACTGCCCACAGACACCTCTTTGAGGCAGAGATATTACACAGACTTGGAACACTCAAAACAAAATTACACCACTCTGCCACAAAATGAAAAACACAATAGAAGGGCTGCAAATCACTTCACCAAATGGAACGATTTTTAAGTGGTATAGAAGGATCTGATAAAAGCTTCTTCATCTGTTTTAGTTTCTCCAAAGTTCTAACTGTTCAAATTGCCTACAAGCACAGAAAAGATTCCAGTCTCAAAATATTAACTATAAAATCAGATGAAAGAATAAAGGCTAGGATGCTATTTTCAATAGACACTTTTTGGAATGGTGACTATCACTTTCTAAAGCCGAAAATGGGTTACCATTCTTGCAAAAGAATAATGCTCCACTGCACTAACAAAATTTTACCTCCAAACCCCTACTCTGTCTTTCCACTTTTTGCATAAGCAGCCATACATACAGCACTACGACCATCAACTTAACCCATCTAATTGTGGAAGCACTAAATTTCACTTGCAAGCACAGAACTGGAATATTTATATTGACATTATATTAGTGTTGCTGGAGTAGGTTACTCTTTAGCCTTGGGACAGAGCTAACCCCCACACACTCACACATAATAAGCAGAAAGGATCCACTAAAGCCAGTTCAGAGCCACAGTAATCTAAAACAATTAAAATGCCCCTAAAAATAAATCAGTATGAAACATGATTAAATCAATCATTATTTCTTAATTACAGCTAGCATTATAGATGAATGCAGAGTATTTACTTTTTTGGACCTTTCCTAATATAAAAATTGTGAGTATGATTTATGAGAAGAATGACTTTTAAAGACACCAAGGCTGTATACTAACTCTATCACATAATGGCAGAGCAGGTCATTCTGTCACCCCAGCACACAACGTGGCCAAACAGTCTTGTCAGACTGCTGAAATATTGTCACATTTCATTTCATGCAAATAATGTTTGGGTGGGCAGCTGAACACATATTTGTCCTTAGAAGATGGATAAGGGACAACTAGAAGAAGATAAAAGGGAAAATATAAGAAAGAAAAGAAGACAGAGGAAGGAAATACGAATGGAACGCAGAGAAGGAGATAAGCATTGAGATGATGTAGATGGCAGAGACATGCCTCCAACTGGAAAAAGAGCCTCCCACAACCTCTGGTGGTGTGGAAAAGTCCCTGCTGAGCAGGGGTGCAGGGCAGCAGACATGGGGCACCTGGCTGGAGGAGGCACACTGACTGGGCATGTTATGGGAGCTGATGGTTGGGGCTGGGACAGGAGTTGTGACACACTAGGAAATCATGGGGTGAATGGAAGGAAGACACTAAGCCCCCCTGTGGTGCCAAAAAGAAGGTGAGAATATAGAAAGTCTGAACTGCATACCTCTCACTCACCCATGTTGCTTGAATTAGATCAAATCTGAGTGCCTGAGAACCAGGAGCCTGCTGATAAATCACTGCTAGTTTTGCCTCCATGGCAGCCACTTAATGAGAGGCTGAATCTCCACAGGCACTTAAGTGCATTTTCTAGTTTATTAGCCAAGCAAAGCACATGCAGCAGAATGCACACACTGGATGATTCTGTGGATTAGATAGCTTTAAACTACTTTGATTACCTTTCCTAATTAAAACTGCACTTTACTAAGGAACTGCATTTGCAACCATAATAGTCTTATTTAGTCTCTGATGATAGCTCTAATTTCTTAAATAAAAATACTTAGTTTCTTATTTATTTCTTATTTATAAGTGGCTTGGGGTTTTGCTTAGTCACCAAAGTATCTTGAGTATTAGAAAATGGTTGTCTTTCCATCCATAATACAGAGTTTAAGCTCTTGACTGTCTGTCTGGAATATCTCAACTGGCAGGAAGATTCTGTTTGACTCTGGCAGCAGTGTGTAGTGGAAAATTTTCAATGTTTTAAGAGGCAAGAACAGTGCCAATGGCTCCAGAGGGAAACCAAATGTTGCAATGCACAAATCCAGCTCTCTCATTGTCTCTTTGCTCTCCCTGCAGGACCTGCCCCCTAGTCTCAGGAAAGGCAGCTGAAGGCACAGCATTTGCTGTGTTTGATGTACTGTGCATTCAAAGAGCACATTCCCCAGCCTCACAGGGCCTTGTGCTGTACAGCCATTGTAACTCCTGCAGGACCTTTCCCTGCAGAAGCAGCCTCAGCCACACAGCACCCAGGGGAATTTCTTACACTGGAAGGAAGAACAGAGCAGCATTACCTGGTCTGTGTCCTTCCAAACACACTGTGCAACTGATGGCTTGATTCCCCTCACAGGTGTATGTGAAAGGGATTCTAAACAATATTTATTTCTTTCCTGATGCGATCTAACAGTGTACCACAGTTTGAAGATTAATAGTCAAACATGCAGGGTTAGCTTGTGATGACCCAAGGAGCAGAGCCATTCTTTGTTAGTCTCCCTAGCAGCAAAAGGGTTAGCTTTCAATGCAAGAAGTATGCTGGGGCTAGAAAGGAAGGTGGGTTAGTCAAAATTGCTCTTCATGTTAATTAGCATCATCATTCCTGTGCCTTTTAAAAATACGAAATAAACATAGACCAAATGTTTGGGCTTGGGCTGCTAAATTGTACTGCCTCAGACTCCTCCCAGATAAGTGCACTGGTAACACAGATGTAACATCATTTAACACAAATCTAGCAGAGAAGGAAAACTGAACATTTCCAAGCAGTACCTTCTGTCCAGGCCGCCCAGATTCACCAGGTTCACCCTAAAAGAAAACAGATGAAAGACATGAGATCTGAGAAATGAGTTAAAGATGGAGCCATGAAAAACATCCATTAATGATACCCAAAATGTCTGTGACACCGTGAAGTGACATGGACCAACCACCCCTCTTCTCCCTGCACAAGTTCTTTAGAACTCCATTACCTTAATTCCAGCCGCAGAAGAGCCAGGGTCACCCTGATACAAAATCCACAAGAAAAAAATCACTCTTACTACATAAACTATTTTCCAGGAAACATAAATCATGTAAGAGTACAACAACATTATAGAGCAAAATAACTGCATAGCAAGATTTCCTGTTTTCTGTGCTACTACATAGGCATCTAACTAATTAATTACATCTGTGTGATTCAGAAAAGGAGCAGGGTTGTTTTCAAGACCATGTAGACAGAGATTTAGCTTCACTCACCCAAACACCTATTATAGTTAACTTCAAATTTCACAACTAATAATGTAGATCTAATAATTGCAGCTGTTGTACAAATGTACTTCACACAGACAGAATATGGGACATACTTTGACATCTCTAAATTGCTGACCTACATTAAAAATAATTCACTGTTATTTACAAAGAATATGAGTGACCATTTGACCTAATTTTATAGATGGCAAGTGTCAGGACTCAACAGACAACATTTTTTGTGCTAATGATGATTCACATTGAAAAAAAACCCCATTGACCTATGAGTTTATCTCCATCAGGACAGGTCATAGTTTTATTTCCTCAACACTCCAGGGTATTTAAATGGATAAATCAATGCCTGAAGGGTTATACTTTACAGGATTTACATGATGACACAGCTGTGGTAATTTACATATTCAGGAAAGGTCTCTGTTCTGAGAGGACATCTAGCACTCAAAAAGATTTGCCTATATTTTGCTGGGTTGACTGGATTTCATAGGCACTGATATGCACAGGACAGAGGATCAGTTGTTTTTTTTTTTTCTTGAACAATATGCCAAAGAAAAAAAGAAAAAAAAACTACTGAAAAGTTTGCTAGTTAGGCTACATACTACTGAAAATTACTAGCGTGCTTCTATTTGAAAAACTGTTTAATTATTTATTATGCAGAAAAAATGCACATTGTTCACTGAAAGCAGCAAGTTCTACATAGCAGAAACTTCAAGCTCTGAGAGCTCTGAGCAGCCTGCCAGTGATTTACATAGGTAAGATAGAAGGAGAGATATATAAGCAGGATATAAATGTTTCATATTCTTTGTACAAAATACAAATAAGGGGTACCCATTCCTGATGTTTATGTGAATGCCATAGCTCGTTTGGACATGGCATCTTTCTGGTATGGTCTTATAAAATTAAATAGTACGGGTTAACATGCTCACTGGCCTCTGAAGAATAGGAATACACAGTTACTGCAGCTTGCTCTTGAATGAAGGAAACACAAAAATCGGTATTATGATATTGAAACATGCATAGAAACCTGAGCTGCCTCATTTTAATAGATATGCATGAGTGACACTGCTAATATCCCTTACAAGCATGTACAACTAAAAGCCTCAAGCCTTTTATAGTTATAAGTGGCCAAATCAACTATTAAGACACATTAAATGGTTAAATATTTCAAAGGGCAATGATGGATATGTAGAAGATAAGACACAAAATATTTATAATCCACCTTCATGCAAGAATAAAAATTAGATCAAAGAAAAAATTATGCGAAAAAAGTATGTTCACAATTCATTGCTGGGTCAAGGCACTTTGCAAATGAAGAAACTTTAGCAGGGGAACATGTACAAAGAAGGAAGATCCTTGGTTTTTTCTAGGGACCAAGACTACAGTGGAAGAACAGAAGCAAGAACTCAAGCCTGGCATTGACACCGTCTTCAACAATTCAACAAAGACATTTTAATTCCAAAGTGTCAGGTCAAGAATTAAGGACCCAAGTCCTTATTTTTGAGTGTCACAGGTACAGCTGTTCAGTAAATAAAGTTACATTTTTTTTGCACACACAGGAACCTGCTCCTAAATCAAGTCTGGATCTGTTGTCATGTGGTATCTCACTCTCCCACCACATGAATAAAAAATTATTTTTTATCTCACAGAAACTCCATTCAGGCTTTCAAAGATATGTATTTAAGTTTTACGGAGTATGGATTAAAACTCCTAAGCAAAAATTTCCCCCTATGCTGAAGAACAGGAAAGAATACAAACCCTGTTAAGCAGCTCAAGTGTAAAGTAATGACACCAAATTTAATGCTTACTCCTAAATTATCTGTCAAAAACCACCCTCATAAGCTCTCTAGGAAGTGCTGTTTGCAAAGCTACCTATCAGAAGCTTTAAACTGCAGCTCTCCTCTAAGAACTGAATCTTTTTTTTTTCTGCATGGCAGGTTGTCTTGTAAGCAGGGAAAAAGAAGAAAAATATTCAAAGTCAATGAAGTCACAGCTCTGGAAAGTCTGGCAAAAATGAATGCAGAGGACTCCAGCCCATTATGGCTAAAGCAGTGCACTCCAAACAAACAGAATATATTCCTATGGCACCATCCCACCTCTGAAAATAATATGAAACCTAGAAGAAATGGGAGACTTCTGCATTATGAAGTTGAGGAGATATCTCGAAATTTCTTCAGATACAGCAATATAAGAAATCTCCTGAGAACCTCTACCTTCCACAAGTTGATCCCAACTCGACTGTCCAACTGCTGAAAGTTCACACAGCAGTATTTAAAACTTTATACTTGAGCAGAAAGGATTTCCCACTGAAAGAAGAAGAGAACTTTTTTTTTTTGCTCAAAAGGATCCCAAATGGGGGGATGTGCATGCTGCTGATCACAGGGCAATATGGGCATCCTTGTGCATGCAAGCTCACCCTCAAGGCTAATGAAGCAACAGGTGAAACTGCACTAGGCTCCCCAGAGAGATTATAACCTTACCATTTACTTGTTGTAAAACTATATCTCTGAACAACAATCTCAATTTATACTTGTAGTGGATTACAATCTTAAATCACATGAGAGTGGATCAAGATTATGTTACCAGTATGCATCATGTAAGTAACTAAATAAGGTTCTTAAGACTTTCATCTCTATTATTAAGCATGACTGCAAATAAAGTATTATTTAAACTAATTTCCAAAATCAAGTAACTTGACTATTCTTAAATCTAATGTCTGTTTTTAATGGCTGATTTTAGAATATGTCTTAAAATCCTTGTGCTCTTCAAAGTTCAGATTTACTGTATCTAAATGATAGCTCCTGAGGGATTTGCATGCACTCCTTACCAGCTTGATAAATCCATCATAAACTTCTCCTTGAACTGAAATGCTCTAAGTTGGTTAAGCGTCACACATGCAGGAGTACAAGAAGTGTTTATGTTTCTGCTGAAGCCTCGTCATTAAAATACATGTTTTTTGGAAGCATATCAGTTCAAAAATGATGGCCAGAAGAGATCAATATGCCTGATCCTTTTCACGTGCAACACAGCTTTTACCCTGACTGCTAAAAACTGGCTTTTGTAAGGAAATCACACTGAAAATTCCAGTTAGATTTTCTGAGCGTGAGTCTCACATAAAAGAAAACTCAGGAAAACAAAAATTTTGACAAAATCTATTTTTTGGTGATTTCTACAACATCTTCATACTCTGCAACAATGAACTAAGAAGTTATAAAGTGAGGTTATTGTTGATTTCAGTTGGAATAAAGATGTAAAGTGTGTTTATAATAAAATCTTGATTTTCCAGCTGCCAATTTGGGAGGGAAGTTGCCTATCACGATACTGTAATTTTTGTCCCATACTGGTTTGGTCCCACTCTTTGATGGAAACACAGAAGGGGAAAAGATAAAGGGTACACCAGAAAACATTGCTGTAATTCAAAGGGGCAATTCCTACTGGCAGGTTGTGACCAAACCTGTGTGATGCAAATTTCAACAGAGGAGTGCTAGCTAGAACCATGCTGATACATTCTATACTAGGGCTACTGCTGCATAAAGAAATCTTATGCTCAGTTGGACAGAGCAGTGCAAATTTTTCTGCTGTTCATAAAAATGAACTTAACAAAATCACTCACCTTTAAAAAAAAATAAATCTCAAAATGCATTTTTCTTTTGAAAAAATTACTATTTCCATTATTTGGTTATATTATAAGCATGCCTTAGGCACACATTTTCTTCTCTGCTAAGAAGTGTTGCTACCTTTTCTCCTGTGTCACCCTTCAGTCCATTCTCACCAGCATCCCCCTATAATTGAAACACACATTACATTTTAATGATTTTCTGTAAGCACACAGCATGCAGAGAAGAGTCAGCATTCTAACATGATTAACAATGCAAGTTGATTTTGTTCATCAGATAGTCAGTCTCTGTGACATGGTCAGGAAGGGGCTATGACTTACAGACTTCACTATAACTGCCATCCCTTTCACAGATCTGTAAAAAAATCCCACCAGAAAGCATCAAAATACCTGCTGGTATAATCTACCATCTTTCTCAGGTCACTGCAGTTTAGCAAGGAAGGAATGATTTAATGATTCCATGATGATTCAGCACTTTAAATTAGAAATACATTTTTCTTCCCAACACAGACACATTCACCTTGATGTATCTATAAAATTCAGATGACAGTTAGACAATCCCAGTAGTTTTTATTGAGACTCTCAAGTAATTTATAGCACACACTCCCTGAGTCTGAAGTCCTTCATAAATGATTTACAAATTAAAAAAAAAAAATTCACTAAATGTCACTCCTCCAAGGAGCTTCCAATGACTTTATCTCTACATAAATTCTATGCCCTGTTTTTGTTAGAAAAGTGATATTTAGATAACATTTTCATGTATGAGTAGACATTTTCTACTCAAAGAAATGCCCAAAATTTTAAAAGAAAAATTTCACAATATTTATCTATAAAAAGACCAAATTTCCACTCAGTCCGGTAACCATATAAGAAGTCCAGACTACATCAAATATGCTGTATGTTGTTTTATGTTAAGAATACAGGCTAAAAATTTCTGTGAGACTTGAGGGTCGTGTAAAGTGCAGTAAGTATTTAAATGCAAAAAATATAGATGAAAACAAGTAGACTAAAAACACATTTCTGCCCTTGGTCTGATAACCAGTAGTACTGTTCTAATAACATTATTCATCTGTATCTGTCAGATTGTTCTGAAAACCTCAATATGAAATGCTTTTGGAGAAGACTCAGAAATTTATACATCACAGCCACTGATACAATGGGAACCAGCTAACAATCTAGCAGCACTCTAATTAAGGAAACATACATGAAACATGGAAGAGTAACAGTGAGGAATGTTACTCAAGTTCAATTAACATGATAAACTTATTGAGGGGATCTGTAACTACACATTTTAGAAAAAGAAACTGCACATTTCAGAAAAAGACAAAGGATAATTATGGAAAAATAGAATGGTTTTATGTGACAAAAATTCACCACATATTAAAATTCATAGTTATTCCTTTTATGTCTGAAAACAAACTAAGGATTACTGAAGTACTTTAAAAATATCATTTTAACAGAATAAATTATTTCATTATGCATATTTCATGATTACATAGTTCTGCATGTGGGTTACAGACTTTCAAGATTTCCCTAGATTATTTTTATGGTGTGCTTTTGAAAATGTGAAATTGATAGCCTTGGCAAATCATGCTTCCAGCTGCTATTACACAAATTTACATGGATCTGGAAGTGAAATTCAGTTGTAGCTGCAAAGACACAGGTGAACATTTCTCAAGAGCAAATTGCACCTCAGTACAAACAACTTACCTTTTAAACATGAGGTCAGTAGACTTGCAGAAGATGAGGCTGTGCATGGATTCGTACTCAAAATGAGTCTTATGCTATTTCTCAAACTGCCCCTGTGAGCAGGTGAGGGAGCTCAGCTCTAAACTTACTGTGCTCCTACCCACCACTATGCCTGGAAGAGCAGAATTATACTCCCCTTTTGCAGCATGGAGCTGGTTCCACCCCCTTGTCCTGCCTTGGTATGACTGGACATCAGAGAAGCAATTTCTTGCTAACTCACAGCAAGTACGAGCCCCATCAGCGAGCCTCTCCAGACAGCATCACTGGAGATCCTGGGGGCAGACTCCTTTGCTCTTACTTAAACTGACACAAACACAAATGGAGCATTCAATTTTGTATTTTTTATTCCATTTCCATTTTTATTTTTAGCACGTGGAGAGCTTGTTATACAGGTATCACTTAGAATATATGTAGTTTTACCATTCTGTTACCTAATTGCTTTATTCCACACAGGTGTTAGAGCATCAAAACCAAGTTGTGAGAAATGTGTGAATCTCTAATTTATTCAGACAGGCTCATCATTTTCTGAGACTCACCACAGTTAGGATTAGTTGCCTGATTGCTCATCTGTGCAGCCTTTAACACACAATCACTGCACTCTGTGACTAATCCCACTGCAGTGATCACAGATCAATAACCTCCATTAGCAGGTATTATCTGGCCCTTGGAAAGGCTGCACTGTGCCACTTAAGTTCCAGGTAGGAGCTGTGGTTTTTTATTTTTAAACTCAGGATCAGTGCACTGCAAGCAAGTTACCCAAAACAGAACCACAACAAAGGAAGTGAAGCATCTCACCTTCTCTCCTCTTTCTCCAGGGTCACCCTAAGGAAAATAATTGGAGCAAAGAAGTCGTAAGTTACTAACTCAGGCAGAAATCTGAGTGTTAGCTTTACTATCATTAGTTATTACTAATGCTAATATTACTATCCTTACTAATAATTATGTCACTACTGATGACAACATCTCAGATGATACAATACAACAAGAAAATCTCCGATGAACAATAAAATATGTAAATTTAATAAATCTCAATGGACAATACAACTTCAACATTTTTTTAAAAGCTTCAATGGTTTGCATGTGAAGACCTCTCTCTCTCTATTTTGTCCTACAGCCTGACAAACAGGCATATGTCTTTGGGAAGCAGCCTGCAGGGACCTAGGTGGCTCCTACATGTCGTTCTCCATGTTTTGGGAACAAACAAAAGAAACAAAAAGTCTGGATGTGAAGGGAAAGTCTTATGATTCTGGCTCAGAAGGTTCCTCAAGAGAGAGAAAATGCCTTAAGTGTCTTGAACAAATTCATGACTGTTCCAGAGTAGAAAGCCTTCAGTGCTCTCCATACTCCCTGTAACAATCACTGTAACAAAAAGATGGCTTTTTCAAAATTAAAACGTGCTTGAGAAACTGCAAAAGCACTTTTGCATGCCAGCCTGACCCTGACAACTCATGTCTGCATTTGTGGCTCAGAGCTGCACTCTGGCTCATCTTTGCCCCTTCTGATGGCTGGCAGTCGCTAGGCAACTCAGGGACTACAGCTGTGAATACGAATGAAGCATCAACTACCATAATTCGGCTTCTTCTCTATACAAAGTAAGAAAAGGTCATGCTCCCAAATGGTTTGTTTTCATTCCTGATGGACAAGCAGCCAGTCAGTAAATGTAAAGAGGCTGCCTTGCATGTCTGTCAGCAGCGGCATGATGCACAGAATCAGCTGAAGAGCACATGTGCACCAGGGAGCTCACTCGCAGCTGATGGGATTAGAAATTAGCATTGCCCCCTCCAAGGGGCCCACAGATCCCATCATCTTGGACACGTTGAGTTCTCTTTTAAATGAAGTTATCATCATAAGCTTAATGTTCTATCTGACTTGTTCAATATTAAAACAGAACAAACTACAGAACAACAAAGTGCAAAGAGTCATTCTGATGTAACACATACAGGCTGAGACATGCTCCTAATGAGGCTTGTTGCTAACTTCCATAATAGCAGGATCAGCCCTCAAGACTTCACCCTGACATTTGTCAAAGAACTGACCGCAGAAGTTCTTGAAAAGAAGCCTGAAACACATTGTAAGGGGCATAAACAAAGCCTTTCTGAAAAGGTCCCCAAATTCCCAAACACTTGCAGGCATATTGCATTCAGCTGGCAGTGGATGCCTATGAATCAGTGCCCCCGACTGGAATTACACATGCACAGCAGAAGAAAATGCTTCTTTATGGTGAGATGTGTAAAGCCTCTTACAGCACTGATCACTGGAGGGAGCGGATCATTAAATGTCAGTCAGAACGGAAACCCAAGCTGGAAAGTACAACTGTCATTTACACATGCATTCACATGCCCTGTGCTTCTGTTTTTAGTTAATTTTCAATACTGACCTTGAGCCCTGCTTCTCCCTTCTCTCCTGCTATGCCAGGCAAACCAGGTTCACCCTAAAGTCAAAGAAAAAGAAAGATGAAGTTAAGAAAGATGTGATGAAATATATGAACCTTCTCATAATGGGTCAGTAATGATAAACACAGTTTTAAAAGACTCTGCAAAGATGTAGCCCACAGCTGGGCACTAAAATGACTTATTTTGTCAGTTAGGGTGGATTACTCTAACCCATGTAAGGTAAGAAATTATTCTTCTGAAAAAGGTGGAAACACACAGATGTCTCACTAAACAGGAAGGAGACCTGTGACTCCTGATTCTTAAAATCTGTCCAATTAGCCTTAAAAGCACAGTCTTCCCAGCAAGACTGCCAATGCTTTCCTCTTCTCTACAACTTAGAAATGCTGCAAGAAAGGCTTGTCTTAATTTATTTTGACATTTGTGTTTCTGGTCTCAGATGGAAAAGAGATAATGAAAAAAAATGAGAAGGGCCGGTTTCAGAAATGGAAGAATTTGGAAAAGCAGAAAGCTTTTCAATTTTTAAAACATACTTTGCTTATCCATTTTTTATACCAGTGGTTGAAAAGTGGTTTTAAAAGATTTAAAAACTCTCAGCATTACATCAATGCTCCAAATTTTGGGTATCTTCAATGAGTAGTATAATACTCTTCTACAGTTTAAGGAGTCATAAATTATTTTCATGAGTCAATCAGCAAATAACATTTATTTTCAATCTTCTTTCCCATCTTCAATTTTAAAAATAAAGAAAAGAAGCCAACAAGAAAAAAAAAACAAGTCAAACAAAAAACCCTCTAAAAATATTTTTTAGTGTTTATCTCCCACATTTATGGGAAAATGACAGATATTTATTTTAGATAAAATAATGTAATGGTTAGACTTATTGTAAAACAACTAGAGCTTGTGGCTTACTGTGTAAAAGCTTCTGCAGATGTATATCTCAGTTTCACAAGAAATACCTCTGATAACCCTCACATAGAGAACTGCATCACGCTTCCAACATGGCAAAGCACATTAAAATAAAAGCCAAAGAAAGATTTTTAAAAGTCTGCAGCTTGGTCCTTCTAAAAGCCCTTTGCTATTTGAGTGTAGAAAAATGTGGAAAAGTTAAATCCAATGGCTAACATAGCAATCAAATTTGGAACAGTAATTTGTATCAGTAAGTCAGTGAACAATTTTCACACAGTATTCAAATTTAGTACACGTCATGACCCAATCCTCTACTCAAAAGTTACAGAGCATTAAGATAAAGGCTTTTCTAAACACAACAAGACACATTTTCTATTCCTCCATAAAAGTCTCCTACTAAGAACTTATCTCTTTATTACTTCTGCAGGCAGATTTAATCATAGATGTATTAACTCTGATTGTCTGTGAAAGCAAGTTCCATTGTATTTCTAAATTAGGTAACGGAATCATTAATTACATTTTAATTTCCTCAAGACTTGCACTGTTTCAAAAAAAACCCCCAAAATCATCGAAGTTCTAGAACACTTCTAGTGAGGCATTTTCCAAGACAGAGCAAAAAATAGGTACCATTAAGCCCTCAGGGAATGAAATAGTCACTTGTGTCAGCCCCTTCTCAAGGCCCCTTTGTACTACAGTAGCTGTGATAAAGTGGCACAGGCATTTGATATATGAGTGCTCAGGATTTGAAGCTGTTGGAGATTAGGTGTGAGTGTCCTAAAGGATTGACCTAAAAGGCTTTTGAAGAAAATTGCCAGTTGACAAAATGAAGCAGAAGGGACCCATGAATATACACTTGTTTCTCCTCATCCCCACACCCCAACACGCTTGCTTCTGTCCCCTTCATTTTCAAACAGCTGCTGTCGGCTGATGCTTTAAAGCTGATGCTTTAAATCTCTAATCAAAAGGTTGAAGTCCCAAGCTTGCACTTTCCTACCAGGTATACATATCAGTGCTATGGATGCAGAGGGCCACTGCTGTGACAAAAAGGAGATCGCAGAAATAGAACAAAAAATTATTTTCTTTGGAAAAAGTGAAAACCTCAGCCTGTCACCCAGTCACAGTAAATCCCCATTCATACCAGCAATTGCAGTTCTGACCTATGTGCAACTGCTGTGCTCAGCACTACACTTACAGTAATGAAAGGACTAGGCAGAGATACTTTAAGTGCAGAAACTAGCTCTGGGAATGGGAAAGATCGAAGGCAAACCTAGAAGGATAACACAGAAATGACCTTGTGCCTTTATGTTTTTGAAGCGATTATCATTCTCTTGGTAATGTTCAGAAGAGCAGGGAAAATATTCTTTTCCCTATGTTAGACCTTTATTTTCTTGTCTATACAAAGAATCAGTGAAAAGAGGTGAACATGTAGAGCCCATAAGATGATCTGTGCCCTAGCCCTGATGAACATTCCCAGTGCAGAGCTAAACAAGCTTTGTGCCAGGGAGCCTCCCTTTGTCACTCTGCATGTCTTGTAGGCATGGCAGTCTGGCTTTATCTGCAGATATTTTTACTATTCCAGTAAGTCTTAACATAAACCCCCCAAAATAAACAAGAAAAACCAAACCACAAAGCAAACATAAAAATGCTTTGCTCAAAGTAATTATGAAGCAAAGAGCTGTTAACTTTTGCAGATGAGTAGATTGATAGCTCTTCCCTACTCAGATACTGTCATTTTAGATATGTTCATTCCAAAAAATTATTTTGATTCTTGGCATGAAAATAATTTAAAATATTTCTGTTAGGAAGTATAGTTAGCTACTTTTCTTCTGTTTAGTTACTTTTATTTATTTATCTATTTATTACTAAAAGCATGTGTTAAAACCAGAGTGCAAAACGCTGTAAGAGTAAAACTGGAGTGTAAAATGCTGTACAAGTACACTTCAGCCCCACAGGTTAGTGTTTTGGAGATGAGCAAAATGCACAGCTGACTTTTAAGAGGCTGGAGATGGTGACCCTGCTATTCAAGGAGTGATGCATGCAAGGGAACACCAGACACTCAACGATGTCATTCGATGCAACAATTTAAATCAGACTGCTTTTCAACCTGATAAAATGGAAGAAGCTACAAAGCTAAATCCTCACTGTCACATGTTTTTTACATTCACCAGGCCATGGCTAATGTCTTTCCTGACTGCTGTTGTAGTCTCTCTTTAATTGCATTGACAGCAAAGGCGTTAGGTTGCAGAAACAATTGTCTGGAGCACCTCAGCTAGGTTTCAAACCAACGCAGCATATTTTTATCTTTTCTTTCATAGAATCACAGAATGCTTGAATTTACAAGGCACCTCTGGAGATCACCTTTGAGGCCCTTACTTGGATTCCACCCAGTATGTTCATGTCTTTCTTGCAGTGAGGAGCCCACAACGGGACACAGTACTCCAAGAGTGGCCTCGATAGTGGTTTTTTTTCCATTTAAAGAATAATTTTTTTCTATAGTACATCTAACTTTAGCTCACAGCTCACCCCTTCTCCAGTTATGAACCCCTGAGAAATTATTGCTCAGTAACAGAGTGATGGCAATCATTCTAAAACTTCCTAGTGTCTATAAAACCGAACCCATGATCCCAGTCAGAGAATTTATTTATGAGGGCTAAACTGAACCCTCACACAAGAAAAAGATGTAAGACCCAGAGAAATTGTGTGAAGGTAACCTAAGAGCATCCCCTTGGAACTTTTCCCTAAAAGGGATGGAGAGTGGGGAAGATGCTGTAGTGAGGTGTGAAGTATCTTGGTACTCAATTTAAATCAATTGTTACTTACCCCTTCTGCCCTTCTGCACTCTTATTCTCAGCTGAACCATACTGCAGAAGTTGTCCTGTGCAATGAGCACTGTGTGGAACTACCATGATACACCAAAAAAAAAAAAAAAATCTCCCTCCTGGCACTGAGGTGGGCTGTGATTTCCAAAGGCCACCTCAGAAATGTGCAGCTGAACTGACACCATGATGGAAAGAGCAAGAGCTCCATGGGATGCTGGGGAACCTGCAGCATCTTACCTGAACATCCTCTCTATCAAGGTTCTCTGCTGCACCAAAGCAGCAACAAAACTACCAGACGCACAAACATCATGTCCCACATTGGCAAACATGCAAATATTGCATTAGAAATACTGTTTAGGTAACCCTTGACTTCTTTTTCATATGAAGTTATTTTTATCTTGCCTTTGTGTAACTTGACCAAGCCCCTAACTCTTTCCTGTATTTGGGCAAAGAACAACTTTCAGCACTCTGCTCAATAAATAGGTGTAGTAGTTTCCTCAGATACTCTTGTTGTAGGGGCAGTCTTAATGCTTACACTGAAGTGAATCAGAATTTGGTGAGTACTCAGGTGTACAGAGCATTGCTTGGGCTCTCTTGGTAATATGAGAAAGAAATCTATCAATATGAACTCAAAATCTACTTCATAACAGGTCTGAAAATATATTACCCACCAGAGTCCATATTAAAGTAGGTGAGGCAGTTGAAAGCATGCTTCTCCTTACTGGAGTGCTTTCTGCCCCTGAGGCATATACCTTCATATCCAGAATTAATCAGCTAAAAATAACATGGCTGGGGGCCCCAGCTTTTCTTGTTTGTAACAGCAAAACAGCCCAGAGGCTGCAGTTCTGAAATAGGTTTTGTTTTGGTGAGATGCAATAACTCTCTAGACCAGCTGGTTGATATCCACCTCACCCTGAAAGAAAGGCTGTCAGTATTGCTATATTTTTCAGTCACTAGAATGTAATCAATTTAAGGATAAGGAAACACAAGAGGCCTCAAACCTAATCCAGTCTAATATTACTCTAAAATACATAGATGAGGACAGAGGGTAAAAAAGAGGTTTTTCAGAAATGTTACTATGATTTCCATTTCAAACTAGGGTGGAATTCAATTCCTTTCAACTGGCTTCTCGAGCCCCTCAAAAGTAACTTAAAATTGTTTGCTTAAGGACTGGAAATCTCTCCTGGCCCACTCACCAACTGAAATTAAGTGGAAAGTCTCTTCAACAAGACTCAGCTGGCCTGCAAACCTGTCTGGGAATTTGTGAACTATATTTATGATGTTTCCTCCCTTTATTTGAAAAAATGTTAGTACATGCATACCCTTCCTCATTTCGCTGAACAAATTTGATACTGCCACCTTCAAAATGTGTTCCTACACAGCACTGGACAAAGTAATAAGGAAATATATGTAAATTAGAGAAACAAAAATCATGAAGAAAGCAGTAAGAAATGTGCATACCCAGCCTCTGAATCCACTGATATGAAGGAAAATTGTTTGAGGTTTATCATATTGCTATTGCAAATCTACCAGAAGAATTTGAAATTAAGGGATCTATCCTGATCATTCATTCTGTTTTCAATATACCCTTACCAAAAAACCCACCAAAATATCAAGTAGTGCGTAAGAAAAGTAGCACTATGTAAGAAAAGATTTATGGAAGTTTAGAGTGAGGTGTTTATGCACTCCAGACAAACTCCTATTTATAACAAAGACGGTTATTTGCACAAACTCCAGAAACTGGGCTCCTTCAGCCAAATACCATCTTAACACTTAAGGAATCTCTGCTTTTCTCTTTGTGTGCTGCTGCAGTCATTGACAGACCTTATCAAATCAGCAGCACTTAACAAATACCAGAATATATATTCTATACTTGCAGAGTTTAACTTTCCAAGAAGCCCTTTGTGGCTATTTCAACACGATTAATGTACGAATGTGATATCCTCAGATCACTGCAACCTCCCAGCACCTTGCAGAATTAGTGCTTTTCTGTACTTTTCGAGTGCCTGAGGAACTTCTGCCAGGGATGGAGAAAGGGAAGTTTATCTGCCATTGCATCATGACAGAAAGAAACCTGTGGCTTGCACAACAGTCTGCAAAGGAAAAGGAGCACTCAGAAAGATTCCTTATTTCAGCAGGTTTTGGTCCATCCCAAAAACAACACTATTTCCAGCTGCAGGTATTATTAAGCAGCTCCTTTCCAGTTACTGTTCTCAAGATAAACTTGCTGCAGTTTCTCAAATGTAGGAACAAATGAAGACTGTAAATGTTCTTGCAAGACTACCTGTAATGTTTCACTGGATTTGGCCTAACGTGTGAAGGTTTTATGGCAGTGATTTTGCTACTCTAAATACAAAAAAAATCTACTAGTTAACAGTCCTGCAAAAACATGTGGGTTGTGTAAAATTACACTTCCTCTAATATCTAGAGACTGTCTAAGACAAGGGGTTCATATGTTAAGGGATTAAAAGACTGTTCTAAGTGGACTCAAAATTTATGATCTCATTCCCAGACCCATGGTCAGACTTGTCAATCATCTCCCATAGCTCAGTATTTCAATTAAAGAAGAGGTGAAACAAAGAAAAAGGAAAATTACAGAGGCATGTAGATGATGAAGATGACCTAACTCTGTTTTGTTCAACTGCTTGAGGACAGAGCAAAGCTAATTCACTGCTGACATTCACTGGCTGAAAAATACTTCATTGTCCAAACGAGAAAAGCATTCACACACTTAATTTTAAGCATGTGCTTAACATTCACAGCCTTTTAAACCAAGGAAAAATATTAACTTGGAACTTAATGCACTGCACATGCTGTTGTCTGGCAGAGCGAGCTCACTGGCCAAAAGGCAACCAGGACAGTAAGGCTTTTGTAAAGTCCTTTATCTACGTCACTTCTAAAAAGGGGATGACTTGCATCACACATGCAAGTTGAACCCAACTATTCTGCAAGTCACCATGAATCTGAATGAGTAGAACCAGAAGTGCCAGCAGCTGGCTCACAGTACAGCCCGACTCTTAAAATCACCACTCTGGTCCTCATCAATATCTCATGTGCTGCACTGCACTGAGAATCTGTTTTTTTCATTGAAATTGGAAGAACTGACCTTTTGATAGCAAAATATTAACATGGGATTGCTAGGCTGCATTATACTTTCTAACTCTAGACAAATACTGCTTCAGCTTAAACTTCATTTCTACCACTGTTTCCAAGCTAACAGAATTTTTAAATCTATTTATTAAAGAGATAGCAACATTCAACTTTCACCTGCCTAGTATTAAGAAAATAATATATTTTTTGCAAATAAGGAAGTGGTTTCTAGTCAATATTGACCAACAGTTGAGAAATCAAATAAAAGAATGCAACAGCAATTTATTTTTATCTGTGTGGCTTTTGTCCTGGTCCCTCCCTCTGTTTCACTTTAGTAATTCAGGGGTTTTTTTAAAAGGTCAAAAGTAAAGCAGTCCAGCTACACTAAAAACATACTGACTTCTTTAATAAAGTGGTAATAACTTTAAAATGTCTGCGAAGTTATAGATGTGATGAATGACGAAGTAAATCAAATAAATAGACAGCCATAAATTGAAAATTTTGGAGTTTTTTAAGAGCACAATTTAAAATTAATAATCAACATTTAAAGATGTGTTTTCATCTTCCCATAATGTTCAACTGCACATTTCTTTTATGCCCCCCTGAAACATGACAGCAGATAAGTAAGTCTATGTGGTCTCCTAAGAATAGACATGCAACAACCTTGCCAAAGAGCTTAAAAAAATTCCCTGTCTCCCAAAATGACACATTAATCACGCATTTGACACATTTCATTAATATCAATTTTTTCTGCTCATTTGAGTGAATTTTTCTTGCTGGAGTTTGCATGATTTCTATTAAAAATAAAGTTCTTGAATAAAATATGAATCATCAGTTCTGTTCTATTCAAAGCAGTTTCCAACTTCACCAGTCCAGTGTTCTTACATATTCCTACAGATATGCCACAAAGTAAATTTTCACTGGCATTTCAGTCAGGCCACAAAAATGACTTGAATCATGTACAGCAAGAGCATCTCAGTTGGCAAGCACTGTCTACTATTTCTGTTGCAAGTGAATTCAGTTATAAAATATGGAGCAAAAAATCTGAGGACTTACTGAAAATTTGTTTCATATTACTTTCTTATAAATTCTGGTATTAAATACATATATGTGTCTGTGTTTGTGTACGAATATAGTTAATTCTAAATATTTCTTATTTTGTTGTTTCACATTAATTGTAATACTCAGAATAGTTTAAAATAAATTCTTATCGCTATCACTAAAGTGAAATATATGGTTATTACATTATTTCTTATAACCACTCTGAAAACACAGTCCTAATATTATGTATTATGCTATTAGAAACTATACTTCTTTTTTTCTTTTTTAGGAAAGAAGAATTAAAAGTAAATTATTTGAAACAACACTTATTCCTAGGGCTCTTGATGAGGGAAGCAGAAGAGAGGATTGTCTAATACAACCCTTATTGACTACCATCTGCTGCAGCTTGAACCTACTGAACATATATATCATACATTTTCTTTTTGGCATCCCTTGCCAGTGCTTTTGAAGTTCACTAGGAATGCTAGGGCTTGTGAGAACAACAGATGGATAACACTCTACAGTCAAGGAGGTATACTATTGAAACTTCATCACCCAGATTTGCCAAGAAACCTTAGCAATGCTGTAACACAGCCCTGCTGCTTTATTGTGACCTCTCCTTATGGAGGGCCATTCTGAACTCTGACAGTGACTTGCCTAAATTAGCATTTCCTTGTGGTTGTATTCAAAAATATTTGTTTGACTTATTCCTCTGTGTTTTCATCCCCAAAATTCAATTTGAAATTATCCTCCAGCTGCACTTCCATTTCTTTTTATTTCTCTATTTATAGGTTGTATTAACAATGTATTGACACCACATCAGTAGCCAGTCTCAATGTGTTTGCATTATGAGACTGAGTGAACAAAAAGTAAAAAACCCTTTGTTTGTTAATATGCTGACTCAAGTAACACACTGTTAATATGCATTTCTTTCTACAACCCATCAGCCATCACCAAATTTGAACACCACACTTTCAGCTTAATTAATTACATTTGCTGCTTATTCAGGTAAAACTAGAAAAAAATTACTTCAGAGCACAAAGCACATTATGCTATATTACACATGGCCTTTTCCATGAAGCCAATTTGAAAGCACAGTTCTGGATTTAAGGTTGCATATTGTTCATGTGAACATGCCCAAAATTGCTTTAATCCACTACATAAATACTGGCAGTGCTGAAAAAGTCAGAGAACTCACCACTTGTCCATCTCTCCCTGGAACACCAGGCACTCCAACAGAACCCTGGAGGGAAACAGACGCCAGTGTTTAGCAAATTAAACAGGTCATGAAACCTTTCATCTCATAATACAGTGTTTAGAAATAATGGTGAATGTTTGCTTATTGGAACTGCAATAAATTTTTCAAGAACTCGTTTTTATCCAAGCTGAGCTCTCCTTTCAGTTGAGATTTTACACTAATTAGACATATTCTCATGTTGTACATTTTAAGGACTGTATCGCCTTTTCCAGAAACAAGCTTCAAGCTCATGTTTTGTAATGTTGTGGATGCTTCACAATAAATGTTAGAATTAAAATGCTATTCCATTTAATGCTCTCAATAAGTTTTGAAACTGATCCCATGCAATCAAATATAGCACCTGAACAAGACGATTAATGCTTCTAGAGGGATCATTTAAGCTCAAAAACCAATCAATCTCAAGGCTTTAAGAGATAATATGCAGTGATTCAGTCTGACAGTACAAATTACAGATACACTTTGAAATTGCACCAATAATAGTGCAATCAGAATTAAAAGGTTGATACAGGCCAAACACAAGTGACAAAGAAGAAAAAAAATTAGCAATGACTTCTAACATTGAGAGATCTTTTTTATAAAGCTCTCATACTGTAAATTTCTATGTGATAAATAATTTTTTGAAGGTCCTTGTGCAACTTGCTATGGAAGTTCAGGGAAAACACAAAGCATGAGGAAAGCAGGAAAGCTGAATAGGCTTGTACAGCATTCTCCTCTTATTTTATAAAGATGGTGCTGCACAGTAAGCAAACTGAAAGAATTTCTGCATGGCAATTCCCCCTCTATTTTGCTTAGAGGTGTTACTAAAATTATCACCAACACCCAAAGGAAATGTGTTCAAAATGGATGCAGACATTTGTCAATTAATAGAGTTGGAAAATCCTGTTTAACAGGAAAAGGAACCAAGTCATGAGGGTCTTAAGAACCCTCCAAGAGCTAGTAACAGAGCTTTGAATCAGTAAGAAATAATACACCACATCCCAGCTTATCTCTTTGACTCACAATACTCTTCCCTTTCTCCCAAAGCTTCTACTTTGGCATCCTTGTCTCTTTTTGCTGAATGCATGGTCCTGGCTTTAAGCTACTGCAAAGGGACCTGAGTGAACACTTCCACATCTCTGTATCATTTTTCCAGAAGATCAGAAGGCAAAGCTCAGGAGAGCATTAAACCATCAGCCTCAATAAACTATCCTATGTATAACAGTTCCTCCTCTCAGTGGCAGCTGATTATTTTTCTTGCAAAACACAGGATGTTAGAAAGTGTCAAATGAAGCTGATTCTACTGTGATAAGTAAATGTTTTTCAGATATTCAAAAGTTCATCAGCACGTGGGTTTTGCTGATGTTGTACATGCAAAGTATCCTCCTCCACAATTCTCAGGGTATAGCTTTGTACGGGCAACTTAGACATGAGCCCCATTCCTGCATTGCCAAACACAAAGGGTACTCCTCTCCTTCAGCCTGCAAACTCTATATAGCCCACAGCTGACAAAATTCCAACAATTTGTGTACTTTGGGATTACATTTTTACATATCACAGGTTTTCTTTCTTTTGTAAAAAAGTTTCATTTTAACAGATGCTTCACTCTAAAGAACATAATCTCAGAAGAAGGAAAGCAGGCATCCTTCTCACATATGTCAATACTACTTATTCCTTTCTCTTTTTTTTTTCCTTTATACAAATTATAGCAGTTTTATTAAATATCTTTCATACAACTTTTCAATCTTTTGAAATCAGCTAGAAAATTACTCACCTTGGTGGTATGCGAGTCAGATGCCGGAAAAGTACCACTCACTAGCTGTTATGCTGATATTCTGAGGACTGTTTTAATGGAGTAATTCCATAAATCATAACTCACTCAATCAAACCGAGGCAGTCAGCTTTAATGAGTGTAAATAAGGCTGGAGGCATTCCCAGGAAGGCAGGTCTCGGGTTACCAGAGGAACAGGAAGACACCGGCAGACCACCTGAACACCACCGACCAAGCGCTATTTATCAGCAACACCTACGCCCTTTGTTTCTGCTGCTCAATTCTTTAGTCATATGGCACTGATCTACTTGAGTAGAGACATGCATTTAATCAGAAACTTTATCTCCCCACCTTTCACAACGCTTTAACTTTGGTTTCCTAATCGTACCAGTCTATGAATGAGAAAATTATAGTGACCTTTTCACCAGAAAGTTGAGCAGACAGATTGAAAACAGTCTGCTCTGCATTGCTTGAACTTCATATGATGGGGGAAATGAGAAATCTTGCGTCTCACATTATATGGCTCCATTTTGCAAAAGCAAAATTCAGAACCTAAGTTAATTGATTCAATGCAGTGTACAGTAGCTTATTCCATTCACCTTTTCTGCATGCAATTTGGCACGGGAGGAATAATCACTTTCACAGCATTGTTGTTAATACTGTACCTTTTGTCCTGGAGGCCCCTGAGGTCCCTGCAAAGGGAAAACAATTCAATTAACATCAAAACTCCAGCCAATTTAAACTGAAATGACTAATTAAGACTGTCTTATTGTGTAAGCACTCTGATACTGGACTGAAACCAGCTGATATTTTATAAATCAAAGAAAAGTAGGAGTTTATGCTCAAGTATCAAGAATACTCAAATTTTCCCCCTTCTAATCTTTTCTCTTCCAAGCCATCTGTTTCTTCCAATAGTGACAAATCTCCCAGCATTAAGATGACTGTGGTTTTTCTCTTTTATATCAGCCAACAGCCAGTTGTGTGTTCACAGTAACAGCATATCAGCTTGTCAGCATAAAAACAAGGTTTATGCAAACAACCATTTTTGCAATGGGGAGAAGCATAAACCTCAAAATCTTCTCACCTTCTAAGTATCACCACACATGACTGTGTTATACCCAACTTGTCATGTGTGCCATCATTTCCAAGTTAAGAGAAAAATCTTTAGCTTCAGAAATCGTTAAGAATGCTCTTGGGAAGCAAAGAACCACCATTTTGTCCCCATGACCTGAGAAGGCAGGAAGAGATAGCTCAGGAAAGCTTAACTTTCCTTAATGTCATACAGGAGTCAAAGTCTTGTTGATATTAAGAGGACCCATTTCTCAACTGGTGTCTCTGAAGTACCCAGGTGGCCACAGTGGAGAGGGGAAACAGAGAGAAAGTAGATCAACCAGCCATGTCTAGGACACTTTGGCAGTCTCTTTTGGTAACAGACAGACCACATCCAACACAGTTCTGTGCAATTTTGTCCTCAGGTTCCTACTATGGGCACTGGTGCAAACTGTGGGTGCTGGTGGTGTACCAAGGAAAGTGAATCCATAGTCCATGAAAGTGCAAAACCCAGCACAAAAACTGGGGAATTCAAATCCTTCTGATGTGAGAAAGAATAAAAGAAGAACTGATCGATACCAGAACTTTAATTATTCAGGAAAACAAAAGGATTTTTGCTTCAAAATGCGACATTGATTTTATTCTTAAATTAGTGTGGAGTTAGGCAGAATCCTCCACTGTCAGTAGACGGAACATTGCTTGTTGGAACATTGCTCTGATGCGACTTTAAACTGCTAACAAGGAAAAGCTCCACTGGTGGTAATTCTGAGTGCTGCATCCACTGACATGGATGAAAGCCTTGCAGTTTTAAATGATGTGTCTAAGGTTTGGTATCAAGTCTTGCAAAAGCATAGATGAATGCGCCTTCTTGAAAGTTTTGCCTGAATGTTTTAACAGAAGAAAGGTATTGTGAGCATCTCCTTTAGACTGCAGAGACAGATTCTGATAAAGGAAACCCACCTTTAATCCCCTGCCTTCAAAAGAAAGCAGAAGTACCTCAGCACTCAGCACTGGTGATGATCAGAGCAATGAATATAGTGAGCATCTGCTTTTCCAGATGGAGAAAAATGTCCCCAGCTCACAGTGTTCCACAAAACCTGCTGATTAAATCAAGTCTTCTTTTCAGTAAGTGCTTGAGAGTGAGTGATCTGCTGGGCAAGGAACCACAAATAGAGCAACAAGTCTACAAACAGTGTTCTTCCCTTTCTTCGAGTGCCTGACACCGTCCTTTTCTTTTGTAAGAAAGACACAACTTTGTCTAGCATTTTAAAAATGCCAAGAATTAATGCTCAAACTAATGCTTTCCCTACAGCAATGGTATCAAAACAGGCTCCAAATGTCTACATCCTGGGCATCAGTTGTCTGTTGACCTGTTGTAAACTAACCTGCTACATTTCAGGGTTATTTCAGGTCTTGGGAAAAATCCTGCCATCAGTAGGCCAAAGAACAACTGAAGACCTCCATCATAGCTCATACCAGCTATTTTTATGTCCAAGGGATGGATATATCAGTTTCTAGCTACTTAAGAAGCTATTAAAACCTTCTAAAGACCCTCAGCTATATTAAATTACCATTTGGGATCCCTTAATACAATACCACTGTATGAAGGAAAAATGATAATTCACTTACTAATATTAGCCCCAAAGCAACCTGTTAAATGTACTCTCTGTTGGACTTTCTGCCTGGTGCTTGCAGCTGTCAGCTGTCAGGGATGAATATAATTCAAGACATTGCAGAAAACATTTTTTCCCAGAATTTCCTCTTCATCCCTGACATCATTCCAGCTTCTCCAGATGAGTTACTGAATATGAAAATATTTACATAGTAGCCTAGTCTTGCTCTTATGATGACTTTAAAATGAATAATTCAGAGAAAAGATGCAGCAGATACTTATCAATAAATATCTTATGCAATTAGAAGTTTTCCATTTCTGGTACTTAAGCCTTTACTCAGACTGGAAGCAGCCCTGGTGTTTCACAGCCACTGAGCCACTTGATGACACGAACAGTCTCCAACAGCACAACAACCTATTGTATGGTATTGACTGAAAAAAAAACAATTTCAAATAAAAGCTTACCTAAATTGGTACGCTTTACAATTTACATAGGATAACAAGTCCTTCTTATCCTTAGAATGTTCTGACTGCAAAACACACCTGAATGGAAACAATTTTTCTCTAAAGCACTGCTCTCTAGCATTGGGAAAGAAGCTCAAAGTCATTGGAAACTTGACAGCTCATTCACTGACAGCTCTCATCTCTCCCCCACACATCAGGTTACTAACAGAAAACTTTTTTAAACAAAACAAAATGAAAAAGCCTGTAGAACACCTCAAAATGGTGCTTATTTTTCTAGAATTGACTAAAATCTCTGATCAAGGCACAGAATGACACTGGAGAGACAGCAACAAGCAAGTAAATAAAATACGGTAGAAAGAAAAAAATATAAAAGAATAAAATTTTAAAAAATCTAAAATAAAAAACCAAAAACAAAACAGAAAACCAAACCAAAAACCAACAAGGTGATTTGACTTATTTCCAGAGGAATAAGTGACAGCTTTTAGAAGAACGAATGTAGAAAATTCCATATGAACACGTGTGCTTTCTCCCCATATTACTCTACTGAACTGGGGAGCACCATGTGGTACCCACTTGATGAACAGAATGCAAGAACAGCAATCAAAATCTCTATGTAGGTCTGGAGACAGAAGCAGAAGGCAAGAAATATGTGAAAGTTTCCAAGCAATTCCTCAGGATGTTTTGTTTTGATGTTTTTCTCCATTTTCCTCCAGCTGCTCTGTGCTCCGTAACAGCTGCAGCAATATCCCAGCCCTGCTGTTTGCTCCGGCACATCCAAAGGGACGCTCTGCAAATGCAGGCTCAGCCAAGCTTCCCCCTGGACAGATATTCTGCCCCTGGGTGCTGGCAGGCAGTGCAGAGCTGCTGCCACAGGTCCCCACCTCACTGCCCCCAAGCCCAAAGCCGTGGCTCTGCACTGACCCCACACACACAAACACACAGAACCTGCTGGAATCCCCACCAGCTGCAGGCTCCAGCTACACCACATGTAACATACCGCCCCTCTGCCACCAACAGATCTGGTGCATGAAGGAGGCAAAGCAGAACCACACAGCCCTTTACAACCACTGGCTGATCAAGAAAACAAAACAATCCCAGAAGTACATAATTCTTTCACCTCCTAACTACATATACATATATATGATACATGTCATTGATCAATGACAGATTATGTTGATAGCAAATATCGGACATTTGCCTGCATTATTGAAAGCTGCCAGAGTTTCCACAATGGGATGCTCAGCATCAACTCCTAAACCACTGGCAATTCGTGTCAAAAAGCTCTTTTTATAAAGAGCATTCAGGCTTCAAGAATTCCAAAGAAACTTTGTGAAAATGGTTCAGATGAAGTGACTGCTCAGCGTTTTCTAGGATTATGCCACTTTTCCTCAAATTGACACATATTCACAGACGAACCGCAATTGAGAAGGCTGAAAATTTTGGTTGCAAGAAGTCTTGAATAGCCCAGAATAGGAAGATAACTAAATATAATGAAAATAAAATATAGTTCTTGCTTTTTCAACCATCATGAACATTTCAGAAGAGCCCTTTGCCATCATGTCCAATTGAGTAAACCAGCTAGGCAGCTGTGACAACCCATTGCAGGGCTTCACTGAATTCGGTTCTCGTTCGCGTAACTCTACAGTAGGACGATGAAAAGTGAGGTGTGTTTCTCCAAAGAAATTCAACTGCCCTCTGTGTTTCTCTGGAGAAGGAGAATTATTGATAATATCTAAACATTTGGAAAACTGGGTAACTAAGGATAAATACAAATGTGCACAAAAGTCTTCTATGCAATTGTGTTTTTTTAAAAGGTAAAATATTTCCATTGTGACCTGCCATTCTTCAATCACTGTTTTTTGAAATCAAACCAAAGCTCCAGAGATTGTAGCATGTCAAGTCTATGCATTATAGAAATAATTGAATGAAGCTGGACATTTCAGTTGGTCCTTAACAAGTAACTATTTAGATTAAATTAAAACAAAAAAAACCCCACCCCATACACTAAAAATTAACAAAAAACCCTACAAACAAGAAAACAAACCCCAACCCACCCTCACCCCCTCTAAAATCAAACCTAACTGAAAAGATTTATCCATGTGTAGTAAAACAAAGTTTGGGATCCAGCATTCTTGCTACACCTCCTTTCTAATGTTAGAATTATATTTTCTTTCTACGCTTCACATGTTCCCTATGTTTTAGCAAGCTGGAAAATAAGAAAATTCTGTCCTGTAAAGGTTAAAGCTGCAGTTTCAAAGAGAGAGAGAGAGAGCAATTCAAGGTGTGATACATTAGCAACCTTTTGTATTCAATTTCTAGAGACTCCGTTGCTTAATGTTTAAAGAAATGTATGAATTAAAAAGTTGGGGCATTTTCAATTTGCAGGTCTGGGGTAGGAATAATGATTTGTTTTACAAGGTGTTAGAGTTCATGGACAATGAGCACAAACACCAAATGAAATGCCTAACAAAAACATAATGAAAACATGAATGGTTTTGTACACTGAGTAAGTTATACAGCAAAATAGGTCACAATGGTGCAATACACTGTCATACAAAAACTCTC